CGGCGTTAACAGGAAATCGTAACACTTCTGGCGTGCATTAAAAGCCATTCATAAAAATTCAATAGCTGTTCAGAGGCGGCTTAGAAAAAATATTTGGTCAGTGTCAATAAATCGGCAATTATTTATATATCTCTTTTGTAAACGAAATCAAAGCATTTGCTTACTTTTGTTGTTCTGATTCGGATAAAAACTAAAGATTCATACTGATCGTAGCGTAACTAGTTAGTGATTCCTAAGGAAGTATTGTTTTAAATCCAACTCACACATGAAATTCCTCTCATAAATTTATATACATTTATTCAATGAAATTGAAAATTAATATTTGCATTTAATTTTTGTTATTGATTGACTCTAACCGCCATTTTGGCTTAGGGCGAGAACAAATTAATTTGTGTACATTCAATAAATAAATATGCAAATTTCTATACGATGTCAGAAATGAGTCGTTTTACGAAATACATTTGCAGCATCAGTTCTACAACTTTGCATATTCATGCTTATTCATACACAAATCCTGCCCCCGGCATAGTAATTTTTAAATAGAATAAATGTATCTATATATTTATATACATACATACATAGGTTCTATGTCTATGAATAAACACCTTTCAGCACCACTTTACCGCTCGAAATGGGTTAACCACCACTTTCATTGTGTAAACTCCCGCCGCCAACAACAGTGCCCCACAACGGCGCACCTCAACAGCGCCGCTTCACTAAAATCGGTATTTCCAAAGAGCTCGTCGCTGCCCTGCCGGTTTGCCTGCAGCCTGATTATAATAACACTTGCTACGTAACTTCATCACTTCATCACGATGTGCAGTTGTTTGTTTGCACGAGTGTACTTATGGCCACTGTGTATGGGTGAGCCCATTTGGTGTTGTACTTGTACACTCTGCCTCTCCAGACTCCGACACTTGTGTTTCAGTGCATCCTTCAGGCATTGTATGCAGTAGCTATCATTCCGCTTTATTTGGTAGGTGTTAATTTATTAGTGCCAAAGCGATGTATTGTGCCACGCGGCTGTGTTGCCATCAACTTTGTTGACATACTTTCGTGCATGACTGCTCGGTGATGATAGGGCGCACAGTGGTATGGTTTTAGTAAACAAAGTTATAAAAAAAATATATATTTTTTGAATATATACATTTTTGGTGGAGAAGAATGAGGGATTTCATCTCCTTACACGCCAAATTATAGCGATTTTAACCAAAAAAAAGTTCAGATATGTCGGTAACATAGGAGCCACATATGTGTGACTGTGTATGATACAGTCGTTTGATGTCATGATGATGATTTTCCGTTCTAAAAATTGCCATTAAGCTCTAAAAATTATTTCGGGCAAAAGACTGCCAAGAATGGGTTGAATAAATTCCTGCCGAGAGGCCCAGTTTCGAGCAATTTCAAGGTGTCCCGGTTTTCCCGGTCTTATTTGCGTAGTCAATCGACTTCACATAAGCCCAGTGAACTTAAATCGCACAGTCTTTGAAGCCACGCCACAGGTTCACGACGTGAGATAATGCGCTCACCAAATAAATTGGTTTTTTCGTTGGCTTTATGACATTTAGTGACGTCTTGTTAGGGCTGTCGATTATCATCACTCCAAATGGCATTTTTTTTTAACCAAAAGAGACCTTCATCGCTTCAGAGTGCGACGGGCGTTAGGCATCAATTCCTTCCTGCAAAATATTGCTAAAAGTAGATGGCCATAGCTTCAATTTTTCGATCTTTGCTCAACAGCAGTAATAGTAGCTTCGTGTACAATGAAGGCATTTCAGACGGTGCGCATCATCCAGTAGTAAACGAGGAGCAAATTATCGACTCTGCTGGATGATTATATCGATCGAATATAGAACCCAGCGCGCCAGCTGTCGTGGGGCGAACCATTGTTTTGGTAATACATTTTTAAGAATACCAAACTTCGTTATTCCGAGCATGATGATGTCTCTTCTTCTTAGGCATATTCCTCTTGATTCATGAAAGTTTCATAAACTTAATTAATTTTTCCATATTTACATACCACTGTGCGCCGCAGAGCATGGAGAATATTTCTATGTACGTATGTATGAGTGTAATTGTTGGAAAATTTGGTAGAAAAACGAAATGCATCAGCAGAATGCCATAACAGACATACAAAAATACTCATAATTTAAGAAATTGTCATATGCGAAGTGACATACATACGTGTACATATGTATGTACAATGTTTATTTTCATGTTTTTGCCCAAGCATGAGTGACTACTTAAAGTGGGCGGTGGTGCATTGAGTATGTGTTGGCTGCAACAGCTGCACATAAATTTTTTTTTTTTTTGAAAATTCCAGGGCAATAAAAACATCCTCTTCACTGAGGACAAATGCCATTTTGATAGTGTCTTCTCTGTACGAATAAGAAATCTATGTCAACACCGACAATTATTACACATCTGTATATATACAAAAATATATACATATGTACAAATTTCTGTAAGAATGCAGTTGTTGCGTGAAAGGCAAAACTAATATTATTACAGCGCAGATATACATATATATATATATATATATATACATACATATGTAAGTGAAATTTAAGTGGCCAGATGATGAGTGAAATGACGGTGTTGTTTTATATGAACTAGAAAATGCCACATAATATACAAACATATAATATTTATCTATGTTGTACATAGATGTACTTATGTATGTATGTAAGTAGTACAAATGGACACAAACATTTAAAGATAGTTTGAAAGGACACATAGAAAATCCAGCTACTTTCTAAGTCTTTTGGGAATTTATTTTTGTATACATCGCAATTTTCTAATAATTTTTCTAATTTTTCTAAATTTTATTAGTCGAAATCACAAACCATATTTCTTCTAAATATTTTTAATTGGTTCCTTTCCTTTTGTTATTCAGCGTATGGTTCACACGCTTAGATTCTATGTATATAATGCCTACTAACCAAAACAGTTTCCGCTAACCCTTTTTATTCACTTTCGATTGAATGCCATTCGTGTGAGTGGCCTTTTTGACATTTTGAAGATTTTTATTAAAAAAAGGGAATTTTTCTTTCTATTGTCCGCTTTACCAACTTTAACTGCACTTCGAGTGCACTTGTGGACGCTGCTTTTTTCTTTATGCGCCACTTGAGATGAAAAGTGAATGGAGTGAATGGAATTTGCGCAAACTTGTAACTTAAAGAACACAAACTCTCACTTGTATGTATGTGTACTCGTATACACATGTGGTTAAAACACATGCATATATATTTAAATGTAAGTGTCCTTTGGGTTACTGCGATTCTGCGTTTTATATTTTATAGAAATTCTTTTAAATGTTAAGGCACATAGAAATCAATGTTTTCGGGGTTGAAAATATCAAGAATAAAAAGAAAACAATGGAAAGTTGTTTATGAATCCTGCTTTGTTTCATTACGATTTTCTTGAGTTTTGATTTTTACAAAAGAAAAACGCTGAAATAAACTCAAATAAAAAATAAAATAAAATAAATAATCATAAAATAAATTCAAATAAAATAAAATAAAATAAAATAAAATAAAATAAAATAAAATAAAAGAAAATAAAATAAAATAAAATAATATAAAATAAAATAAAATAATATAAAATAAAATAAAATAAAATAAAATAAAATAAAATAAAATAAAATAAAATAAAATAAAATAAAATAAAATAATATAAAACAAAATAAAATAAAATAAAAAAAAATAAAATAATTATTGTGAAAAAAATGATTTTAGTCGTCTGGAAACGATTGTTTGATCAACTGCTAATTCTTTTGCAAGTTCTTCTTGCGTCTGGCATGCATCTGTGTCGAGCAATGTCTCCGATTCTTCGTCTTGTAATTTTTTTGGTTGTCCGTCGTCTATGTCGAAATTGCCACTTTTAAACCGTACAAACCACTTTTGGCACGTCGGCTAAAGCATGGTCACCATAGATGTTCAGTAAAATACGATGGCTTTCGGTAGCACTTTTCTTCATGTTAAAGTAATGAAGAAGAACTCCCCGCAAAAACACTTTATCTGGTACAAATTTCGACATTTTGAAGTGAATGAAATAAATTGTTGTTCACGCTAAAACAAATGAAATCTATGCGAAACGACGCGCAATGATAGTACCTTTGAAATGAATATAGCCCCAGATGAATACGACGCGAAATGATTCTAGTAGAGCCCTCTCTTAGAAAACCGTACGAATTAATGCATACACAATCGCTGAACAGTTCGAAATTCGTTATGCACCGGACCAGCTTCGAAGTAAGGTCTTCCTGGTAAAAAAAAAAAATCAGTTAGATAGTAGAAAGCCCTACCCCACTAGCATTTTTATCTAAAAATACTCGAACAATACACAGAAGATTTAAACACCCCTTAATCACTTTCCATTGCACATCTAAAACAACAAATAGCAACATTTTTTAGCAAATGTTCGAAAACACATATGTACATATCTGTATACTATGTATTGTTATTTGAGCCATTCGAAATGTGACTGTTTTGTGGTGGAAGCCACTTCAACACAGCAGGCAAAATCCAGCGATTTCAGAAATGGTCAGTGTCAATGCGACTTCGATGGCACTGCGAATAAAGGCAAAAACTGTGGGTTGGGCGTAGACATATTAGAAGTGATTTATGTATTGTTTTTCTTTTTATTTCAAGGACTTCTTTCGTACTGTGAAATGAATTTCGAATTTTCGGAATAAGTAGTTTTGACTAAGATTGTTTGTTGTTGTTTTGTGTCAACTTCCTGGCGTCTCATTTCCAATTTTATTCTACATTAACGCTTGAGGCGCCTACGGAGTTCTATCAAGTTATTCTCTTTTCCGGGCTGGCATTGTTGTTGTTTACGCACATGTGGGTGTTTGTTTGCGTTTGCTATATTGAATATTTGAATTTTCGGTTTGTTTGCTTAACACATAAATATATACATATAATATGTATATGTAGCCGTATGCGCACACACTTATTCTTGCAAATAATAATTTCGCTCATATTTTCCATTTGCAGGCGTCAACACACATTCATGGCGGGCACGCAGAAGGGTGGCGGTGGCGGCGGCGGAGCTGGTGGTGGTGGTGGCTCCAGCGCCTCACATAGTCCCGAAAAATTGCGCGGCGCTACGCAGGATCTATTCGAACTGTTGGAGCGTGTGCAGTGTTCGCGTCTGGATGATCAGCGTTGTGTGTTGCCAGCATATTTCTCACAGGTAAGTAAGTGTACATACACATATACATTTAGTGACTAGCGGTTACGAAAAACGCATTTTAAAATTCATTTTGTCGGTGAGGGAGCATTTTACGTTTGAGCGCATCAGCGGATTTGGTGCAGAAAATCCCAACAACTGCAACAACAAACAACAACAAGAAACAAAAAATATTAGTTTTCTGCTGTACAACATTGCGAGTGGAATTATTGTTTTTTGATTTGTGGCATAAGTCATACAACTGCATAATACATACATACAAACATATCTATGTATGCACGTGCTTTTCGTATGGCAATAAATTCAAACAATCAATCGAGTGCTGTACACAAAAATGTTGCACATGCCACAAAAAATGTCATAAAACTCTCATGCAACAACAACAACACACACTCCACCAATTGGGATTATCCTGAGAAAAAAAGGAAATCGTTTCTTTTACTTTATACCGTTTATAACCATTTGAATGATGAGAAGAGTTGCCATAATGATTGCCATAATGATTTATGAAACCTAGCACTCTCTTGAGCACCCCACCCCATCCGATGAGACCGCTTGTTCTACGGCCTCAGGTATCTCTCTCTCATTTCCCAATCTGTTCTTCGTCCTAATGTCCGACCCGACTGTCCTATCATCCGACCTGACCATGCTACTGATAGTTCTTTCTTAGGCCTTATAAACCTCAAAGGCATCAAAGATAGTATAATATTTATGTAAAGCTGGTTGTCCTGAGCATTAAAATGTTTGTCTGCTGAAATATGCCCGAAATGTTTAGAATTTTATCATGCAGTCCTCAATCTTACGTTGGGGTTCGGCTTTGATGCAGCTACGACATCTACTTCAGCCGAAGCAGAAGCTAGACCGTGTTTCATTAAACTCTTGACCTTGGGAATCGTGAGAAGGCCAAATGCATTTATCGGGAACATAACTAGTTCCGGTACCGAAAACTGGGTCTTCTAAGAAGAAGTGAAAGAAGATTCATACTAATTTAACCAAACATTATTTTCTTAAACAGCGGTTCCTGAAGCCTATCCAATATTGTCTTTATCACTGGGACAAATAGCCCGATGGAATCATGGGTTCCTGAGTTGTTTGGCAAGTGTCGTCCAATAACAGGTCATTTTGGGGTGGTTTGATTTTCATTTCTTCTCCTCATTTGTCTCGCTCCCAGCATCGTCCACTTTAAGGAGATCCAGTCTTTCGATGTGCCATTCTCTTAGGCAGTGAACTATCTTCTTTATTTTTTGGTGATATACCGTCATTTCGAGGAGTGAATTCATTCTGCCCATCTTAGATTAGACTTTTCTGGTAAACTGAAATGTAATTCAATTGTAATGAGATCAACTTTGGAAGGTGACGTATGAGAAAAACAAATGTTCTTGAACGAAGATCTTTGGAGTCTGATATTCGATTATGAGATTACGCGATCACTGCTGCGGCTTACAAGCAGAACTGACGGCTTTCAGGGAATCCGGCTTATATCAGCGTAAATCTTCGATGAAATATGGTCTGACCAAGCCAATTTATACTGTAACATGCAATAAAAACACGTAAAAATAACAATAAAGTGTACTTCTGAAGACTATAGCCTAGAACCATAGACACGAAAAAGTCTCAAGTAACCGCGCGGCCGACAAAGTAGCAAAAAAAAGTAATCAAAGAAGTTATGGCTCAAGAAATGATGGCTCTTCTTTGACTTAAAATACTGTTTAATGGATATTAACGGCGGGAAAGAGAGAGAGAGAGAGAATGACTACTATCCTACTGCTACCGAAACCAAGAGAAGGACGTGACTAAAAACACTCAACTTATCCTCTTTGCCTTATCAGACACAAAATTGACCTATATTTTTCATACACAATCTCTTGTTCACGAAAGGTATAAAGAAAATTCACCCAAAAAAAGGATAACACAAATCATCTTTCTCCGTTTACTGCAGTCACGACCTACGGCAATTCACCTTCCATTGCGCTCTCGAATGCATACTCGTATACTCGCACATTTGTATATACACGTAGTCTGCGCGTTTTACGTTTCGCTTCGGGGTATTAGTCGCTAAATTTCATGAGCAGCAGTGACTGCGGAATAACCAAAAGATTTTGCCAGGAGCGCATTGACTTCAGCAAATATTTATATATACACCCATGTACATATGTATGCATGAATGAATGAGAGTTGCTCCTGTCGCAGGACAAATATTTATATTGTATGGTCTAAGGTAGATATGAACATACTTGAACACATGGAGAGGTACATACATACATACATTTGCACATATGTGTGCATGTGCTGGAGCGCTGTTGGCAGCTATTTGTGCTTCGAGCATTTCTCTATGACGAAATTACACACTTTCATTGTGGTAATAAAAAACATTGACAAGCCATAAAAATGTTAGGATTGCCCAAAACAAAAACAACAACAATAACAGCACATAAGCATAAAATTTATTATAACAGACATACGTGAGCAGATAGTTTGCCTAATAACAAAAGTTTTCTCGGTTGAAGTGGTACTATATATTTTGCTTACGCTCTTATCCTGTTTATTTGGTTGCCGAAAGTGCATTTACTCGTTTATGTGCGAGCATACATATATATGTAATTGCTTACCAGCATATGGCAAATATCATACATAATACCTAGTTCAATAGATCGAGTATGGTTTCTATATTGGCAAAGAACAAATTTATTCATTAAAATACTTGTTATTGCGAGAGGAAGTAGATTTTCCCATAAATGGGCGGTTAAATAATATAAAATGAAATTTAATATTAAAATAAAATAAAAGATATTAAATAAAATAATAATATTAAATTAACTTAAATTAAGTAAAAAATAATAAAATTAAATTAAATAATTTAAAATAAAGTAACGCAATTATATTAAATTAAAATAAATAAAATTAAATTAAAGTAATTAAAATTAAATTAAATTCCTCGAAAAAAAATTAAATAATATAATTAAAAAAATATATATATGAATGTATTAAACTATTTCATTCATAATGGAATTAAATTAAATTACAATAAAATAAATTATTTTCAATATGTAAAATTAAATTAAATTAGATGTAATTAAACTAAATAAAATAAAATAAAATAAAATAAAATAAAATAAAATAAAATAAAATAAAATAAAATAAAATAAAATAAAATAAAATAAAATAGGAAAATAACAAAATATAAATCAAATAAGATAAAAAATTTACTTTAAATTAAAATGAAATACACTAAAATAAAATGAAATAAAAAATAAAATAAAGTAAAAAATAAAATAAAATAAAATTAAGCAAAATAAAAATCTTAAATTAATGCGAAATGGTGTCAAATAAAAAATAAAAAATATAAAGCAAAATAAGTTAAATAAAAACTAAATAAAATTAAATTAAACTAAGTGGAATTAGTAATATAAACTTAATTAATTGATTTAAATTTAATTAATTAAATTTAATAAGGAAATAAAATTACATTATATTAAATTAAATGAAATGAAATTGTTATAAAAAATTAAATATAATCAAAGATAGTGCAATATTAAAAGATAAGACTGGATTAATTCAAATAAATTCAATTGGATTTCATAAATAAAATAAAAAAATGAAAGTAAAATTGCAATAATTAAATTTAATTATATCGAACAAAATGTATAAAATGAAAATAATATAAATAAATTAAATATATTTACAATATATTAAATTTGCTTTTAATAATCAATTAAAATTAAATAAAGAAATGAGTAAAATTAAATTAAACTGTATTATATAATATCGAATTAAATTAAATTATATGTAATTAAATTTTATTTATTTACAGAAATATAAATCAAATTAAATAAAATCCGATGAAATTAAACAAAGTAAAATGAAATAAATAAAATAAAATAAAAAAATAAATAAATAAAGGCTTAAAATGTATGTAAAAGAAAATAAAATAAAGAAAATTAAATTCAAGTTGAAAAAATTTTTTTTCCTTGTTAAGGGAACATCATGCTTCATTATGTTTTGAAAACGGCGAGTGTTTGTTTTCTAAGGAAATATGGACATATTAATCATAGCCGTCATTTTTTCCCTTCTAATCCTCTTAATTATTCTTTAAAATTACATATTCCCCATGTTTTTTTCTGTGTTAGAAAACCAATTGAAGGAAACTAGTTTTTTAGTAAACAGTTAAAATTTTTAGTTTGCGCCTGCGCAAAACCTGAGCTGGTTTGAATTTGACACTACTGGCAGTTAGCAGTAAGTGGCCTGCTTTGACTAGCGCACATTAGATGTCGCTAACAAAGGTTAACTTCTAATTTTGGTAGGTATGTGTCTTAGCTAAAAATAGGTAGCACTGAGAAGAGAGCTCATTTGGGTATGAGCCCAAATATATTTATAACAGTTAACTATGTATATTTGAAGCAGAGACGCAAACATTTCTGAATAGCGTAAGTACTTGAAAATACGTGATTTGAAGCTGGTTTTCAACGGTCAAGGAGCGTATAACCAACGTTGCGTGCTTTGAAACGATCTATGAAGGAAGTGGGATATAATGAGCTTTGAAATTTAATTATTAATTTCAAATATTTTATTCAGAAAATACTTACCATTCATTCATACATATATATATATACATAAGTACAAATATATGCTTAAATTTGGAGCTTTTCGAATTTTTCTGCGTTTTTTCTCTTCAGAAATACATCCTCAAATTAAAGAAAATTCACAAATTTGAATTTATAATTGTTTAAAAAAATTTTAATATAATAGTATACGAAGTAAAATATTTGTTTTAAGGGTTGGAAAATTGATTGAATTCAGAATTAAAATAAATTTATATTGGAAACACACTCTTCTATCCCTAAATAAAATAATGAAATATAAAATTTTAATTTTCGAGTGAGTTCACTGTGGAAACCATAGCCGAATTCGAAAAAAATACATATATAAGAGATATTGGTATTGATGAGGTGTGAAAATTCTTAGTGAAAAGTTTTCAAAAATCACTATAGTAGGACTATAATAAG